TAGCAATAATCTAAACTAATCTACATAAATAAAATAGTATATTTATGTAAAAAAAAAAATCACAAAAATCCCAATTACCTCTGCAGTGGGGAAATGGATGCTGCAGGACCAATAAAAGCTAGATTTCAACCTATAAAAAACGAAAAATGGGGTATTGTAAGTAGTATATCCAAGGAAAAAACAAGTAAAACCAAAAAAAAAAAAAAACTGTGTGCTGCAACTTCCAGGAAACCTCCTCCACGTGGTGTGGTTGCTTAGAGACGCTGGAGGCTGAACCAAAAGGCAAGGATCAACAAGGAACAATGCAATGTGCCGACGACTGTCGCTGGAGGCTGAACAATGCAAGGAAAATACATGCAAAAATAAATTAATCAATTGACCGAGAGAAGGGCGAACTTACTGGCACCGGCGCGAAGCGGAGAATAGGGGGCGCTACGGAAGAACAGCGACAGCAAGCTTCGCCGGAGAAGAAACCAGATCTAACGTCGTAGAGGGAAAAGCAGAAATGGGGAAGAAAGGTGAGGTGCGGGTGATATGAACGAGTATATTCGACAGCCAAAGCTGTCGAATATACAGAGGAAACGATGTCGTTGCCAGCCATAAACATATTCATCAGCCAAAGGCTGTTGAATATATTTGTAAATTCGACAAAAATATTGTCGAATATGAATACTGTCGATTAAACAATAAATTTCCATTATCATCGTCAATTTTACATCTTCGTCAATCTTTCTGTCGATTATGTACACATTTTTGACATAAATGTGGCTGTCAAATATAATATTGTCGCATATGCCGCGTTTTCCAGTAGTGGTTGGAGGTGAAGAGTCCAATTTAGTTATCGTGAAGGAACTAACTCAAAATGCAAATAGAGATAGGATAACTAAAAATACCAAAGGACAATGAATGGTGGTCTCTGATTTAAATGCCAACCAGTAGAAAAATGAAGTGATGCAGGGCCGCCTTCGTGTTGGGCAGAGAGTGGAGGTGAATGGTTTAATTTAGTCTTTTTTTTTTTTTAATACATTTGATAATGAGTTATACAGGAGACAATAATCGTATTTTTTTAAAAAAAATTTTTGTTTGTTAAACTTAAATTTTAAGTATAAGATTTTTAATTTATAATCTCAACTTTTAATCAGTTGAATTATCTAT